AGAGGACTTTCTAGAGGAGACTTCAATCTTCCAGTATAATGAACTAGTGCTAAGTTCGTAACCTGGCTGTAAATTCGGAGGGGGGGGGAGGCGTACAATTACTTTCACAGTTTCCTGGTACCAAGGAGAGCAGCGATTGTTGGGTTGTTTTGTTCTGTTTTGTTTTTCTTTTTTCTATGAATTCATTCTTTCCTAATGGTTCTTCATGACCTGGATTCATCCCCTTGAATATCCATAAGTATAATGTTGCCAAGGTGAATTTACAGTAAATCACTTGCTTTGGGTGCAGTATAAAGGTGGCGGAAGATTAATCCGAAGCGTAGCTGTTAAGGTCATACATATACTGTGGTATAAATTCACTTTCCTGATGTCGAAAAATATATATTTAATGGACTCTATATTAATGAAACAGCAGCCAGCTATTTTACGTCACACGGTTTGTGAGATTTTTACGTGATTATCATGAGTGCCTTAGAAAGCAGGTGTAAGTACCTTTTGATTAATCAGAAAAATTATCACAGGTGGTTTTGTTTTGGTTTTTCCAGGAAAATGGTTATTTTCCTGCTTCCCCCTCCCCAGTATTACAGATAAGTAATATCTGTAATCTGCCAAATAATTGCAGATTTTCCATCTACGGCTTCTGGTTCTTCAGAATAGCATGTTCAGTTCAGTTACCATGCCCATTAATGTCTTTAGCGTACCCTAGAAGAAAACGTACGGTAGGACTTTAGTTGACTGATCCGTATCGATGGAATAAAAAATTAACCTTCAGAAAGTTTTCTAATGCTGCATTATACAGTGTCATTGCCGTACAACTTCTGCTATATTTTAATACATATGAAAAAACCATACAGCATGATTAGATATATTAAAGCGTGTTACGGTTTTGGGTGCAATGATATCCAGTAAAACTGGCGCATGGCACTTTCTCAATGACTTCAATTCTTTCCACTTGGACTTAAGCTTTCCTAATGTTATGTTCAGCTTAGTGATCTGAAAATAAAGTACAAATCCTCGCAAAAATGAACACAGCAAACTTTTTACAATAGCCTTTTAAAACAAAAAAGGCCATTTAATTGATATTAATTATCAATATCAAGAACTCAAAATAAAAACAGACCACCTAAATTATAGAGTGCTAATACTAAACAAATGTGTGCGCTTTAGTCTTTGCAATGTTCTCATCACTTTTCTTCTTTTTTTTTTCTCCAAACCAGGTTTTTGATTTTAATCTGAGGGAAGAAGATATGGAATTTTTGAACACTATGAATATCAACAGAAAATTAATTCATCTAACCTATCCACTGTGGAAAGGATAATTTAAAACCAGATTGTTCTATACTGCAAAAGCGATGCAACTGAAACGTTAATTCATCTTAAACTGAACAATAGAGCTAAATTGTTCTCTTGGGTATTCAGAGTACCTAATAAATATCAATCAATAATGAAGGATCAATACCAATGGCTTGTATTTACTGTTATGTTAACAAATTAATAAAATCATTGTTTACTCTCTTCTTTGTTGCTTTCTTACAGCCACAGAAATGCTTACTTTCAGCATTTTCTCTGCTTTCTCGGAACTTTCTGGCATATTCTTCCAGTATGGGTTGAGCTATCTCACAGTATGATAATGAAGTTTCTTCTGCCTGCACGTGCTTCATTTAAGGTGTCATTTTAACCCATTTGAACAGATTAGTTTGGGGTTTTTTTCCTTACAGATTTTGAAAAGTATTAGTTACTTAAAGGCACAGATAAGAGCATGCTACGATGCATGTAAATCTTGAAAAATTATTCAAAATACGGAATATTTGTTCCGGGATTGCAGCAGAAATCTGAACCTGACTTTTTACACTGTTTTTTACATTTCTTCTAGTCATGAGAATTTGGGGGGATTCTGCAGGCCACTCTTGGTACTCTCTCGGTGAGCAAACCTCTTCTGTCGGTACCGTTTCAAGGATCCCCTGTCTTGGCCTAGCGCATCTGGTTTGTGGCCTAAGTTGCGTCAGGATGAATAGAAGTCCTTTTTGCTTACACAGATAAAGATTTTTGAAGGTGCGGAAGAGCAATGTGTTGGAGAAAAATCCCTTGCTAATCTGTCTTGCGGGGATTTTCTGTATCTTTTCAAGATGGATAACGTTCAGACACTCCTCTGATGCAATCGCGAGTTGGCCGGCAGCGCTAGCACTAAGAGGGTACGGTCTTCTGGTGGCGTCAGAGGCCACCGATCTCTCAGTACGCAGGCTTTGGGAATACCCCAGCTCGCAACCTCTTTTCTGGCAAGATCAAAGCATTTTCCTGCAAGAAAATTGCCCTGTGACTAGCCAGGTTTCTGAAATCCCCACCACGCCAAGTTCCGATAGGAAGTTCCACAAGAACTTTGGTTGTCACAGGCAGCCTTTTTTTTTTTTTTTTTTGGTGCCAGACCCTAAACCATGAGTTTCTGCTCACCCTGAATACTCGAGTATCTAAGAGCATCTACATGTTCACGGGCCCTGTGAACAGAAGTGTCTGCCTCTTTATGCTTGTGGACATGTTGCAGAAACACTTTTTTAAGCAGTTTACCCCGGCCAAGCGGCTCGTACCTATCAGTTTGGTGTCATGATGTGCGCAGCCCTCCCGCTGGCATTCGACTGAGGCCTGCGTTCTGGTTATTTCTGAAATGGTGCATGAGTAACATCGTGTTGTCCTTTCTCCTCATTCCGACTGTAGGCAATTCCAGAGTCAAGTTCTCAAAGGAGCTATATATACCCTGGATTTCTGTAGGGCATTTCATAGAAGTACAAGCTTCCTTAACGCCGGACCTGGCCGTTGGGGAGGTACCGAGAAAAGAGTTCTCGTTCTGTTGGTGGGGATGGAGTTCAACCCTGGTGTAAATCACCTCGCTAAACACTTACCAGCATACTTTTGGTGGAGTTGGCCGGACCAACCTGAATTTACCTCCGTGGTTCCGCCCTCGTAAGCAGGCTGCAACCTGTGCAGTTGAGCCACGTTAACCTGTCACCTCTGAGGTTTTAGACAGCCTTCAGTGCAAATCCAGCTGACCTGGCTTCATTTGCCTGAGAAGAATGAAGCTGTATTTCAGTTTCCTCCCTGCTGAGATGTCAAGAGGGCTACAGATGCGTGTGGTCACCTAATTTTAATGATGCTTTTTGCGATACAAATACCCAAGTGTTTGGAGTGGAACTGAAATTGCCCAGGTATTTTCCCCAGCCTCTGACAAATAATTTGTTGGATGTCACACCTCTGAGTTGGAGCCCTCTCAGTTGGTTAACCAATAACCCAAACATGAAAGCCTGTACCTCTGCCTGCTGAAACCCTGAGTCACTCTATCCTTTAATTAAAACATGTTCCTTTAATATATTCCTCTTGCTTAAAATCATGTGAGAATTATTTCCTAGAGGAAAATGGCTAATGAATGCACTTTTATTTAGTATTTTCTATAAATTGGCTAAATAAGGGGCAAAGCTTGAAATATCTAGGGTATGTCAGGCAGTTGCGGGGGATGCATATGTCAACCTCAAGCATGATTTATCTTATGTGCCTTTTCTGACAGTTGTAATTTAACGGCTGTATTTTCCTCCAGGCTCTCAGGAGGCTAAATATCTTTTCAAGTTTCTAGCTTTGTGGTGGAAGAGTAAATGTCTGTTTGCCAGTGTAATTTATCTGAGTCATTCTGGGAGAGGCGTGGAGCAATTGAAGCATGACTATTAGCGTAAATAAGAGAGGGACTCTCTCCCTGAGGGTAGAGTTACTCTTGCCGTCTTTCGGAGGAAAGCTGCTTCCCCATAACAACTGCTACTGGTAATTGACTGGTGCGATGCTGCGAACTAAAAGACCCAATATATTGAGCTCTGGATATTCTTTTGCGTTTCAATTTGAAGCGGAGTTAAAGAGAACAGAGCGAGGAAGGAAAAGGAAAATTTCTGTAGTAAGTGCAACAGTAGATTACCAACAGAGCTGGCATTTCACATACACTGAGGTGGTTTTTCTTTTGAAAGTTTGAAGAGAGAAGGAATTATAAAACCTGAACTCACTTCTCAGTCTCTGTGTAACCGCACCGTTACCACTGTAAGTAGCCGTCATTGCCAATTTTGTTTTAACAAATGAATTTAAACCTTTTCTTCGTATTTTCAAACACGTAGGTATCTTACAGCATCCTCTGAACATTCAAAGGCGGGTTTTGCGTGTGGAAACACCACCGCAGGGTCGCGTTTGACAGTGGCATGAAGCGAGTCCCCCACGGGCCGCGGGCCGGTTGCCGACTCCCGCCTCGCCGGTGTGCCGGCCGGCG